AGTATTTAAATGGATTATTTTTGGACAAATAAATCCGTTGGTAATCGATTAGGATTTTAATGGATTGAAAAAAAGTCATGAAGTATTCGATTAGGATTTTAAAGGATTATTTTAGAATCCGTCAAAATCTATTAGTATTCAATCAGGATTTTAAACAATGGAATCACAATCTCTATCGCTAATAAGGAGAGAACCTAATTTGATTCCCCTTAAATACATATTTAAAAAGGGACAAAGAACTTTGACTGTAAGAATTAGTCTGATAATCAGTTAAAGAATTAAAATTTATAGATACACTCAATCATTAACTCATCCTAAGGAGATAATTAAATTTGATATAAAAAAAAAATCATCTTATCCCTGTCCCCATGAAATGGTTAAAAATGACCGGTTTTTGAGATATCACAACTAGAATATTAATGGTTTTTATTTTTATTTTTCAAAGTTTACCAATCCGTGACCTGCCTAATGGAATATTCGGAGAACTGTAGACATCTACCCAATCATTGGAGATTGTTCATGGAAGTATGTGCTTAACAAATAACAGGAAACTATATACTATGGGCTTAAGTTCTAGGATATCATTAATTCGTCAATAAACAATATGTACAAATTCATAAATTTAGGGATGTATTGAATTAAGATTTTAAAAATTTATTTTTGGATTTAAAATTTTATATATTTTAAAATTTTATTTAAAAATGTAATGATTTTAAAGATTTTTTTAAAAAATGAAAAATATTATATCTACAATCTTTTTTTTTTACAATCTTTTTTATGGTTGTTGGATCAAAATTAAATCAATAATTCTCACTTAGTATCATTTTATAACGTTGATTGAATTTTCATCCAACAACCATAAAGTGGTTGTAAAAAATTATAAGATTAAAAAAATATTATAATTAAAATTTTATAAGATTATATTTAAAAAATTCATTATTAGAATTTATAAAATTTGAAAAGATAATATAAATTTATAAAATTTTATTGACATGGGGAGCAAACGCAACCAACAAAAAAAAAGGTTTAAACCAGATTCAATAGCAAAAAGGAATTAGATACATCAGCTGTGTCTAAATTAAGTGCCTTAGCCTAGGGGGAATAATGGCAAACGAATGCAACCCTTTTCCGTTGTCGAAAGTTGATTTTGTCAACCAGCACAGTAAATTTGCCAATTATATAAATTTTTAGGTTACATTAAAAGTTACTGAATAAAAAATATAACAAAGAAATGCAATTATAATAATAATAATAAAAATAAAATCTAATATAATTTTTTCAACAGTTTAATGTAATTTCATGTCCTCCTAAGTAATATTAAAAGTTATACTAAGCCTCCACACATTAACATATTCTTGTTGTTGCTCCCGAGTTTGAATATTATGTTCACAATTATCTTCTTCAACTGAAATTAGAGTATTGCAAATGCTAACACAAGTTATGCTTATGTTTTAAATGAAAATGGAAGCATTGACTTAAAAATTATGAACTACGATTTTAAAAATATCAAATTTCCTCTCAATTACATTTCTAGCAAAAATTGAACAATTCATTTGTATTTTGAGGATTATTATCATATCTTGTAAAATCTTGCAAATGATAACACGAATTGTTGTGGGAAAGAAAAACAATTGAGAAATTTTAAGAAATTTCAAGAGTTAGGGTGAAATTGTGAAAATGGGATAGTATTATACCTCCCACTTAAAAGTCACACAAAATTTATACTAATAAAAAATCTATTGAAATCACCGTTTTAAATATCAAAATATTTTGTATTCCTTATTTAAAATCTTGATTGTATATCATTGAATTCGGGAACCATCTAAAAAAATTAAATGTCCCGATTAAATACCACATGACTTTGTTAGATTAATTAAAAAAATTAATTAAAAATCAATGAATTTTTTATTCAAAAATAATTATTTAAAATCTTAATTGAATACATACCTTAAATTAGTTTCTTCTTTTCATATTTTTTTATGATTTGATATGGATGTGAGGAATGTGGCTTCTATACTCAAAAAGGAAGTGGATTGAGTACTATGAATTTTTTGGAAAAGCCATTTTCTTGTTTTTAAATTAACATTTTCTTGCAAGCTTTGATATAAGAAGAGATTAAGGATAAATAAAGATAACACATTTCTTATGAACTAGCACAAATATATAATCAATGCTAGCATATATAAGATATCTAATAAAGAGTTACATTTATATAATTTAAAGAGTAAAGGTTGAGAGAAATGTCATCATGCTCTTGTCACCACCATTGAGACCTACGTTCAATTGCTAACTGCTCAATAATTCTTCAATGTTGGTCAAGCTTCATGGGTGTTTGAAGAACCTTTATAACCTCCAAGTTTTTCAGGTGCTTGAAAACCTTACAACTACTAAGTTTATGTGCACTTGGTAATCTTACAACTTCAACCAAATTTACGGGTATTTGGTAATCTTCACAACCTTTGGATCTCTCTATGCCTAATCACTCAACTTCAATATAAGAGCGGTATATGAATGGATTTACATTTTTTGAGTGTGGATAATACAAATTGAAACATTATAGGTGTACGAATTTTTACACAAGCTCGAGAATGTGTGATCATCGAAGGAGATTGAAAAATATGTAAATGATTATCAAAATACTCTAAAAATATGCAGAAGAAATGTAACAATGATGCCTAAAATATTTTAGAGCCATTAGAAATGCTTTTATAATGTTTATATTAAAAACTAGTCGTTTATAGCTGATGTACAGTTATTGTCTAAAAAGTATTTGTTTGCTTCTTTGCATACAAAAAGTATTATATTACTTTTCAGAAAGTATTGTATTGCTTTTCAAAAAGTAATATATTGCTTTTTCTGACAAAAGCTATATTATGCAACAAACTTAGTCCTATTCCATTATAAATGACTCAAACCACTCTATAAACATGTTCTTGATTTCGAAAATTATTTTGGAGTTATCAAACATGTCAAAATCATTTTCCATGAATTTTTCAAATCATTTCCAAGAATTAAAACATCATGAAATATGATTTATGAAAAAACATATTATATTTGAGCTCATTAATGCAAATTAACATATACCCCTTACATATATGTCTAAGTTCTACAAGTATAAGCTAAATAAAGTTTTGGACTTCGTTTCATGTCTCGAGCCTTGGAAATTGGTTCTTTTCTCAAGCTTAATGTTTTGACTTATCTAGCAATACTTGATACTATGTTGGACTTGATTCTCTTTTATCAAGACTTGTCACATTAACTTATCTTAAAGATTGTCTATGGTTTATTGCAATTGATCTTAGTTTTGCTCTTCTTTTTCTTCATTACTTTTTTTTTTTTTGGTAATTACATGGGGCTAAGCCCCACAAACAGACACAAAACAAACCAGAAAAGAAAAACAGCAACACGAAAAGAAACAAAACAAAACAGAACAGTAAAGAAAGACCAAGTAAGGGTCTTTAACAGCAAATAGCAGCAGGCATCCTAAATCCTGGATCCAGCAAGTCAGCAGCCAGTAAGTTGATTAGCTCAGAATGAGGAGATGAGATTGTGGTGAGACCAAAGGAATCATCCAAAGCCTTCTTCGCAATCCAATCAGCACAGCAGTTGCAAGACCTTGACACATGTTTCAACAAGACAGACCAATCTTTGTTTATAGCGGCTCAAATCTTAGCTACCAAGAGGAGCTTTCGAGTATCATTACCAGAAGCGGTAAGAAGGCTAATAGCTTGAGCAGAATCTGATTCCAAGATAATATTCTTCCTTACTTATTGCTCTTGATTTGCCATCTCAATTCTCTTGGTTTGTTCTTCTTGCTTTGTTGTCATTAAGGCTCTTCTCTTTTTGTTGTTGTCTCTTTGTTATTATCAAAATATATATTCTATCTACAATCTCTTCCTTTTTTATGATGAAAAACTGAAAATTGAAAAAATGTAAGTATACCAAATATTATCTAACAATACATACTAATATAGTAATACTTCCCTTCAATTTATGCATGGTTTGAAAACATTATATTTATATTTGTCAAAGTTAAGCATTTTAAACCAACATAACCAATATAAATGTATACGGTTAGAAAATATAATTTTCTTAATTTTTATATTTTCTATGGACTGTATTAAATCAATGAGATAGATGATAATTTTCGCCACAAATTTGTAATATATACTTGCATGCATAATTTAAAATCACAACAAAATCTTCGTAATTGCATAGAAAGATATATAAAATATTAGATCAAACAATACTCTTTTATGTAGAAGTTCTAATTAGTAATTGGGAATTGAACTGGGCTTCGTTTTTTTTGTGTGGGTAATTCCTAATAATTTATTTAGAAAAATAATTTCATTTTTTTTCTTTTTTGAACTTGGAGTCTTTTGAAGAAAATATATATAAACTTATGAAAGATAAAAAAATATCTATTCGTATATATTAAATTAGGAGGGAGATATTTTTATTACCAAATTTTTTCACTACCACTTTACTAGCTATTTAATCACGGATCAATATTTTTTCTTTCTTCATAAACTTTTCAACATTCTCTATCTGATCCAATGGTATTTAGATAGATAGTAAGTTGGTAGTGAAAAATTTTAGTAATAAAAATATTCTCTTCTGAAATTAGAATAACACTTTTTTAATCTTTTAATTTATTATTCTTTCATGAATTATATGTCATTTTTAATTTATTTAAATTAAAAAATATTCCTGCAAGTTACAAAATAGCTGTTAATTTAAGAAATAATATCTTAATTAATTGATTTAAACCAGTTAATAACTTGTTCAAACATTAAATCGCCAATTCAGAATTAAACTTGTTTAATCCGGATCTAAGAAAAAGTTGGTGAGTAATTCGGAAAAAATTAGTTTTGAAACGTGGCAACATCTGATTGGCTTGTCATTCAGTCTCAGTCGATGAGGAGGTCCTTCTCTTTGGTTTCATCGGATAAATACCCTCCCACCCAACCCTTGTGTTGTTTCTCTCTCTATCTCTTTGTCTCAGTCTCTCTCTCTACAAGGGAATTTCAGAAAAGAACCCTAGAAGCAAATCTCAAAATCCCTCATATATTAATGGTACTGGTATGCAAAGTCACTTCCTTTTCTCTATTCTCCATAAATATGACCCTTTTTCTTTGGTTTCTTCTTGCTGATGGGAGGGGCAGCTCTCAAATTATGCCTCACTTGTTATGCCCTTCTCTTCTCACCATTCTAATAACTGAAATTGACCCCATATAGCAAAAAGGATCTGTCTTTTTGGTATGTTACTTTCCCTATTGCATTCTTTCCTGTGTGTTCTGTCTCTGATTTTTTTTTTTTAACTGTTAATTTTCATATTGGTTTTTTTTTTCTTTTTTCTTTTTTAAGAAAAAAAAGAAAGAAATAGTTTTGCTCATTGTTTTTCTTTTGCCATTGAGATGCAAGGTCTGATTGTAAACGTTGAGGCATTTTTTTATTCCCTACATGGCCGATTTGATTTGTATATCTTTTTATTAAAAAAAAAATGTATATATTTGAGTATTTAATTGGATTTGTTGAAATTTCTCTTTTGAGCATTGGATAAATATAAAGTTCTTTTTCTTTTCTTCATGTCTGTTTTGACCTAACCTCCCTTCCTTCCTATTTTACTTTTATATTGATATTTGGCGAATTCAGATGTGTAAAACTAATTGGAAAATTGGGTGTGACATTGCCCGATTTTGTGTAAAGGGTCCCAATTAAATTTCTTGCTGGCTGTGGCCTCCATGTCTTAATGGCAATGTTCATTTCGTATGCATCTCACCTTAAACCCTAACTAAACCAAACCACTCCTGTTTAATCCCGATTAGCAATGATGGGGGTGCAGCAATCCTTGTACTAGTCTTACCCTCACATATTTGCAAAGAGGCTATTTTCCGGATTTGAACTCGTGACCTTTTAGTCATGAAAGCCCTATTTTCTTAGTTTAAACCCTATGAAGTATGTTTTAATCAAAAAGAAATTATCCTTAAAGTCAGTAACCTTAAAATCCTCTGAATGTCCTTGAGTATCTGTGTGCAAACTATGCAGCCATCTAGTTCCATTTTGAGATTATTGTGTGAACGTGCAGGTATTAATGACAAAAGCTTGAGTCAATCATGTCAGAAGGTGCAGAAATTGATGAGCGTGTGGACTTTGATGAGGAAAATTACATGGAAGAAATGGATGATGATGATGTTGAAGAACATGTAGATGATGATGGAGTGGATGGAAGTGGTGATGAAAATGTTAAAGAACATGAATATGAAGACTCAGCCGTAGTGGATGGTGGGAAAGATGAAATAGATAGAAGTGACATTGCTACTGAGTCTGTAGAGGATGGGCAAAATCCATCTTTCATGGATGAAGAAGAGAAACAGAAGCATGATGAACTTCTTGCCCTTCCTCCTCATGGCTCAGAAGTATTTATTGGTGGACTTCCTCGGGATGTATGTGAAGATGATTTGAGGGAATTGTGCGAGCCTATAGGTGATATTTTTGAGGTCAGAACTGTTATGTATCACATTTATGATACTGAAGACTTCTTCATTTGGCAGGTGGGAGAGAAAAGTTAAGATCATTGACTAAGAAGTTGATTTTTTGTTTTTCAGGTGCGATTAATGAAGGATAGGGACACTGGAGAAGGCAAGGGTTATGCTTTTGTTGCTTTTAAAACAAAAAAAGCTGCACAAAAGGCCATTGAAGAGTTACACAATAAGGAATTTAAGGTATTCACAGTACTTGACAACAGTAACATTTTCAGAGTGCTTTTTGCCTTGTATGTTCTGTTGATGAATAGTTTTAATTAATTTCAAGATTTTTCTTTATGTCAGAGTAAAACTTTAAGGTGTTCACTATCTGAGACAAAACAAAGATTGTTTATTGGTAATGTTCCAAAAAATTTGACTGAGGATGAGTTTAGGAAAGCAGTTGAGGGTATTGGTCCTGGCGTTGAAAACATTGAGCTCATAAAGGTTCAGTCTTCGAACTAGTCTTTGCTGCTATGTTATATTGCAAGGCCTTCCTTTTTAGTGCCATTTCATTTTGTTTATTACAGGACCCTCAGAATCCAAGCAGGAATCGTGGCTTTGCGTTTGTCTTATATTACAACAATGCATGTGCTGATTATTCACGGCAAAAAATGTCAACTGCAAGTTTCAAGCTGGATGGTAATACCCCAACTGTCACATGGGCAGATCCAAAGAATTCATCTGATCATTCTGCTTCTTCACAGGTAATTTCCTGGACGAAGGTGGAATGATGTTAAAGTGGTTGTGGATTGTTTTCACCTAATGGTTAAGTGTTTGATTGAATATTTATAACTAAATGATCCTTGTTTTACCCCCTCCCCCTCCTTTTCTTTTTTCCCTGTTTCTTTGTAACTGGAGGGTTTCTTGTCATCTCTATACCATAATTGTCAGCCCTGGATAGCAGTGTGGAACGGCTAATTCCAAAAACACTATAGTGGTAGTGTATAGCAGGATGACTGCACTGTATCATAGATTATATATACAAGATAAGTAATTTATACTATACACATGTAAATGGTCAAAAAGAAAAAAATAACCCAAAATTAAAATCATATTCATCATTTATAATCAAAAGTCATAGAGACATAATTTAGACTTTAGACACAATAACCATAAAATCTAAGGCAAGTTTAGACACACAATGATTATAAATCTAAGGCATAATTAACAAGTCAATAATAGAGGGCTTTGAAGTGCAAATTACACAACACGAAAAAAAAGAAGGCAGAAAAGAGGATATGCGAAAACAGTTAAGAGGCAGGATAGAGTGGAGAGTGGAGACCATGTATTTGACAAAATGAGTGGGAGTGGGGAGGCTCTGTGATGTGTACAAAGAAATTGGTGGTCCTAAATCCTTCAAAGTTAACACTAGAAGATCTTAAAATAGGTAGTTAGTATATTATTTATAGACAGGACAGCAGTTACATAGGCAGGAGTGCAGGACAATTGTTATGTAGACAGTTTCTTATTTTCTTTTTAGTTATGGTCAGTTATTGTTTTGTATTAAGAGGACAATTTCCTCAATTAGGAGTGTGGATTTGTAATTTAGGAAGAATAAGGCTGAGATTAATTTCTCAGAGAAGGAGAATGCTCCTTGGGAGAGGATTTCCCTCTTGTCACACTTATCTGTATAATCGATAAATTAAAGTTTCATATTCTGTTGATTCACTTGACTGGAGTTCGTCTCTGCTGTTTCTTTGGTTAAAATTCCAGGATCATAACACTCTGGGTTGAACCCTAAGGGGAATGAGGGGCAAAACAGAATAGACCAAACAATTCTTAGAAACTAGGTGGGACACACAGAAATGAGGTCCAAGTGTGGTTTTTACCTGCCTGATGAAGTAGGGGCTGTAATTTGCCCAGATTTGGAGCTGCGACAGCTACAACACAAAAACAAGATACAATGGCTTGTGAATTGTGGGGAGGCCCTGTGATGTGTTGCTGGCGTGATTGACTACCCTGCTCTATACTTTATTTTCTCCTTTGTCTTCTAGCAATAGAATCAAACTCCTAAAACATCTATATATAAACAAAAGTGCCGGGTACAACACTATAGACGGCCAATCTACTTCCTCCCATGGGTATCAATGAGACAATCAGAATTCTGTAGTACATCTGTGGAGCATATATTTCAGTCTGATTCTGTCTATTTTTTATATGAACGAAATTCTGATTCAACCATAAAAAATAATGAACTAATCATAAAGCTGCATTTGCAGCTGCATTAGTGGATATTAATGATGTATTTGTTTTGTTTTTAAAGCTGTATGCACCACATTTAGCCATTATTAATTACTGTTGCTGCTAGTGTTAATTGATATTGTTCTTACAAACTGTCTTTTGGGCATTCTCAGGTTAAAGCTCTTTATGTGAAAAATATACCCGAGAATACTACTACTGAACAACTGAAGGAACTATTTAATCGTCATGGAGAAGTAACAAAAGTGGTCATGCCACCTGGCAAAGCTGGAGGGAAGCGTGATTTTGGTTTCATTCATTATGCAGAGAGGTCAAGTGCATTAAAGGCTATAAAAGATACGGAGAAATATGAAATTGATGGTACTTCTTCTGCACAATATAAAGTTATAAATTGGTGTTGTCTCTGCAAGTCTGTCTCCTTCTTCCTGTTTTTGTGTTCAAGTGACTTTCTATTAGAAAAGTAATAAGGGGTTGAAACCAACTTATCCATAAATAATTTTGCCTAGAGGATCATAATCTTAAAAGTATTATCAGCCTTATCTGTCAAGCATGTTTATATTTGAAAAGATTCATCATGTTTACCTAGATATCTGTAATGGATTTGAACCGCAGGCCAATTACTTGAGGTTGTTCTTGCCAAGCCTCAAACCGAGAAAAAATCTGATGGAGGTTATGCCTACAATCCTGGACTTCATCCAAACCTTCATCCACCTCCTGTGTATGGTGCTGGTTATCCTGGAAATCTTTATGGCTCTTTAGGGGGTGGATATGGTGTTGCAGCTGGTTTTCAACAGGTATTTAATGACTTACAACTGACATTTACAGTCTGATGTGTTTGGTTCTTCATTTATTTGACTTGATGTGTTCTTCTTTCTAATATGTTTGGAATTTGCATCTTATGGATCCGCATGTATGAACAGCCAGTGATATATGGTAGGGGTCCAATGCCGGCAGGAATGCAGATGGTTCCAATGGTATTACCAGATGGTCAAATTGGCTATGTTCTGTAAGTTGTTTTATGAACGTGATTTCATTTCCCTATAGACATAATACTTTTGTTCAACATTTATTAATATTTGGGGATATTCTGCAGTCAACAACCTGGGGTACAGATGCCGGCTCCCCGACCACGCCGGGGCAATGGTCCAAGTGGTCAGCCAGGACGAGCCGGAGGTAGTGGCAATGATGAGGGCAATCGTGGTAAAAGGTACCGACCCTACTAGTTGTACAAGGTAGCTAGCTACATGTGATGTTGCAAATGTCACTTGACCCTTTTGTTCGAAACAAAATCTCCTCTCCTTCGCTATCCAAGTTAGTAAAAAAAAGAAGTTAACATAAAGAATATTATTAGAAAGTCTCGATAGGATATGGCGTCTACTGCTGTTGGATGAATCACAGTTATGTAATTGTCCATCAATTCAGCTTGTACTGCTGCTTGGTTTTTTTATTTATTTTTTCCTTTGTTGACTACAGTAGTAAATGCTATTTGGTTTGACTGTTTTGTTACTCGTACTCAGTACCTTTTATGTTCAATGATAGCCTCAATGCATTTTGCTAGCATTAGATATAGCGGTGTTAGTGCTACTTAATTGCACTTAAACATCAATTTTTTTTTTTTTTTTTTTTTTAATTTTTTCACCAGATCAATTATCCGACTAGTCCGGGTGACAAAACTTTATCAAAATTTTAATTTACTTAAGATTATTTGTTAAGTTGGAACAACTTCTGTGAGTTAATCTACTTGCTTGGTGATATAGAAAACATCATTGTTATGTCAATGTGGCAATGCAAAACGTAATATCAATGGAGCAAAACAAGAATTTAATTTTGTAGCTACAAAATTAGTTCATCACGGCCTAGTTTGTACAATATTATGAAGTTTTTTTGTTTTATTGGGAAGTACAATATATCTTTCGTGAAAAAAAAAATGTGTTACAATAATGTGTGAGAATAGAAGTGACAATTCGGGTTTATATGATATGAAATGAATTTTGATATGATTATGATTTATTTATATTGTGGGTTGACTTGTCACGATATAAATAATGTGTCTATCAATAACATAGCACAAATAATTTGTAAAAAAAAAAAATTAATGTGGGTTAATTTTGTGTATTTGTTAATTGACACGAGATATGATATGAACCTTTTTATGTTAGTTTTTGTCAATACATGACATGAATTTTAAAGCAAGGCAACTTAACATGAATTTGAATTTGTCGTGTTATGTTCGTGTATATTTGTGTCATGTGAGTGGTCATATTGAAAATTATCTTCCCAGTAGAGATATTTTAAGGATATATTTAATATTAAAAATCATTTGTACATCTTCACCTATCAGTTTAATTTTTTATGATTCAATGGCACATTAATGCTTTTCTATTTTTATTTAGCACTACATATTGTAAGTAATTAAGAGGATATATTAAGAAGATATATCACTAATCTTTAAGAATAATTATATATTCTTCTATTGAATCCTTGATTCCTTGTAGTATATCTAAATTACTTAAAAAAAAAATATTAAATACTTTTTAATTTCTGGAGGCGTTAATTCATCCCATTTTTTATTTTCTTTTATTTGTATCGCTTTGGCAAAACGTTGTTTTCATGTTATTTATGTTTTTAAGAAAAAAGTGTTGTTTTTTTTTTTTTTACGAAATCAGTATCATTTATTGTGAGGTTTGTAACTTGTAATGACCAGCAATGACTAGCAAAGTTAATTTGAGGTTTGTAACTTGTAAGGATTACCTTCTATGCAAGGATAACAATCTTTTTAAAAATTAATGAAGTATTAGTTATATGGGGTAGAATATTGTAACAATCAACTAGTATTACTATCAATCAATTTCACCGTTAGATAGATTATGTTGATCCAACAGTTATATTTATTTTCATCTTTATATTTATTCACATTAAATATGAAGAATCATAACCATACAAAGGTGAAAATAAATATAAAGTATTAAATTCTTCATATTTGGTTATTTTTTAAGACAGTGTGATGAAGCTTAAGAGTCTCAAAAATTCTTCATCAACTCCTTTGAATAAGGAACAAGTTGACTCTGCTATTGAACTGCTAGCAGTTTGGTTCTATGAGTCATGTGGGTCTGTGCCTTTCTCCACCCTTGAAAACCTCAAGTTTCAAGCCTTTCTTACCCAACTGGGTTTGCCAGCAACAACCTTGAGACGTGAGATATCATGTTGTTCTAGACTTGTGGATAGGTTCGGTTTGGCTAAGGCAGAGTCAGAAGCTAGAATAAGAGATTCACTGTTTTTCCAAGTACAATGTGATGGTTGGAAGAGAAAGTATTGGTGTTGTGGGGGAGGAGATGGTTTGGTGAAGTTCTCGGTGAATCTTCCAAAAGGGACTAATGTGTTCCAAAAGGTTGTGTTTACTGGTGGGGGAGTGTTGTCATCCAAAATATGCAGAGGAGATATTGTGGGAGACAGTGACAAGAGTTAGTGGAAGTGTTGTGCAGAGATGTGTGGGAACTATTGCAGGCAAGTCTAAGACCAAAGCATTGATCATCACTGTTTATTAAAAAATAGCCAAAGCACACAAAAGTCTTCAAGCAATCATCACTGTGTATGGCCATGTATACTCTCCCACGTAAGTACTTCCAGCTGCCTTTTTTCTTCAAGTTTTAGGGGGGGAGGGCGACGGCCCACCCTAGTCCGCCTCTGCTCATGACCCTGTTAGTAAATGGGCTGTCGTTTTGTTGTCCCTCATTATGATGTGGTTGAAGGTTCTCACTTTGTCTAGGCCCATTACCATCACCCCGACCATTTCCTTGACCTCGGCCATTGTTGTGTACTTCATCTTGACCGTCTCGTCCATTTTGTCCGTTGTCAGCACCTCTACCATAGTTATTTTCTCGGTTCTGGGCTTCAGAGCCATTCCGACTGCGGCTCTCGGCGTGACTGTGCTAATTATTCATGTTATGGTCTATTAGCCTATTTTCCAAGACCTCCATCCTCTGAGCGTCCAATCGTTGTTGGGCTAAGAACTGATTCTCCATCCTTCGCAAGATGGCATTGAGGGCGGTTTGGGCAGTGTGATTGTCCGCGTCGGGTTGTGCTTCTCATTGAGGTGGACACGACTGGTTCGTAGCCTGGTTCCCTTGATTTTTGGATGACGCCGAATCTGATTCAGTGTCGCTAACATATACCTCTTCCAGCACTGGTTGCTGGCCACCCTGGTCATCCATGAAGGGCGGCAGCGATGGAAAATTGTTTGTGGCACTGCGAGTATGTACAATTGCTAGGTGGGAATCGAAATTTATCGATTTTCCACATACGACGCCAATGTTCGATCCGGGTAGACCGTGAATGTTCACCTAATAGGTGATAGCTCAATATTAGTGTTAATTACCAAGAGACAAGAGGTATACATTGTAATCCTTGTGTCAACTACACGAAGGAGATTTCATTTATATATTAAACTAAGTAAGAAATACACACACATATATATAATGTGGGACTTCTATACTATGTACAGCAACACTCCCCCTTAAGCTGGAGCATATTGATCGTATGCACCAAGCTTGTGACATATCTGGTCTATCCTAGGTCCTCTCAAAGACTTAGTAAATACATCAGCTAATTGATCATTTGAGGTTACAAAACGAGTGACTATATCTCCTGAGAGAACCTTTTCCCTAAGGAAATGACAATCTATCTCAATGTGCTTAGTCCTTTCATGAAACACTGGATTTGAAGCAATATGCAAAGCAGCTTGATTATCACAAATGAGAGATGTTGGTCCAGTGTCTCCAAACTTGAGTTCCTTCAGTAGCTGTTTTAACCATATGAGTTCACAGGTAGCTGTGGCCATGGAGCGATATTCTGCTTCAGCACTTGATCTAGCAACTACACTTTGCTTCTTACTTCTCCAGGAAATCAAGTTATCTCCAACGAATACACAATACCCAGAAGTGGATCTTCTATCAATAGGAGAACCTGCCCAATCAGCATCTGAGTATCCTACAACTCTGGTATGACCTTTGTTTTCATAGAGAAGACCTTTGCCAGGAGCAGTCTTGATGTACTTGAGGATACGGATTACTGCATTCCAGTGATCTTCACAAGGAGAATTCAAGAACTGACTTACTACACTGACTGCAAAGGAAATGTCTGGTCGAGTAACTGTTAGATAGTTCAGTTTCCCAACCAATCTTCTATACCTTTCTGGATCAGAAAATAGCTCCCCCTGATTTGGTAAAAGCTTGACATTTGGATCCATAGGAGTATCGACGGGCTTAGCATTCAACAATGTTGTTTCCTCAAGAATATCCATAGCATATTTTCTCTGTGATAGTACAATGCCATCTTTGGATTGGGCCACTTCTATCCCTAAGAAATATCGGAGTCTTCCAAGGTCCTTTGTTTGAAAATGATGGCACAAATGTTGTTTTATCTGAGTTATGCCATGAGTATCATTACCTGTAATGACGATATCATCAACATATACTACCAAATAAATAGAACCTGAATCAGAGTGTCTGTAAAAGACTGAGTGATCAGCCTCACTTCGAGTCATGCCAAACTGCTGTACAACAGTGCTAAACCTTCCAAACCAAGCCCGGGGAGACTGCTTGAGACCATACAAGGATTTTCAGAGACGACAAACTAGGTTAGACTCCCCCTGAGCAACAAACCCAGGAGGTTGCTCCATATAAACCTCTTCCCGCAGATCACCATGGAGGAAAGCATTCTTTATGTCCAGCTGATACATAGGCCAGTGATGAATGGCTGCCATAGTAATAAAGAGGCGAACAGAAGTCATTTTCGCCACGGAGAAAATGTGTCACCATAGTCAAGGCCAAATATCTGAGTATAACCTTTAGCCACCAAGCGGGCTTTAAGACGGTCCACCTGACCATCCGGACCAACTTTAACCGTGTATATCCATCGACAGCCAACAACAGACTTCCCAGAGGGAAGGGGAACCAGATCCCAGGTACCATTGCTCTGAAGTGCACTCATCTCATCAATCATGGCCTGTCGCCAACCAGAATGTGATAACGCCTCACCTGTAGTCTTAGGAACAGATACAGAAGAAAGAGAAGAGAGACAAGCAAAATGGGATGGTGAAAGACGATGATAACTCAAATTTATTAAATACCTGGGAAGGGGACGAGAATCACTAGTACCTTTCCGGAGTGCAATGGGCACATCAATGTTAGACGGAAGGATCGGAGCTGCCGGAGGAGATGATGACGGAAGTGAGTCCACAGGAGCCTCAGTAACAATAGGGGCAGACTCGGGGCGGGGGGGGGGGGGCAGGGTCCTGGGGAACAGGGGGACGTTGCCGACGATGATAGACCTGGAGGGGGGAACAGGGGCGGGAACAGGGACAGGGACATCTAAAGAAGGAGGTGGTGAAGGTACATAGTGAACTGAAACAGGTGGTAAAGGTAGCTGAGTAGCAACAGAATCACTGGGATGGGAGGAGGAGTCAAAGAATGGAATAGACTCAAAGAATGTAACATCTGCCGAGACAAAGTAACGATGAAGACTGGGAGAGTAACAACGATAACCCTTTTGTGAGCGAGGGTAACCCAAGAAAATACATTTATGTGACTTAGCAGATAACTTGTCAAGACCAGGACTGAGATTGTGGACAAAACAAGTAGAACCAAAGATGTGAGGAGTGAGTGGGTACAAAGGTTGATGGGGAAATAACACAGAATGTGGTACCTGGTTATTAAGTACGGAGGAAGGCATGCGATTAATGAGATAACAAGCTGTGAGGACAACATCGCCCCAATACTGGAAGGGGATATAACTATGTAATAAAAGTGTCCGAGCGGTCTCAATTAGGTGAAGGTTCTTGCGTTCAGCAATCCCATTTTGTTGAGGGGTGTGTGAACAAGATGTCTGGTGAAGGATGCCGTGAGATGCAAAGAAGGTTTGAAACTGATGAGACAAATATTCACGAGCATTATCACTACGAAAAATGCGAATCGAAACACCAAATTGAGTAAGGATTTCATTAAAGAACTTGTTGAAAATAGAAAACAATTCAGACCGATTTTTCATTAAAAATAACCAAGTACATCGAGAATAATCATCAATGAAAGTTACAAAAAATCTGTACCCCATAGTGGAAACGGTACGACTAGGACCCCAAATATCGGAGTGAACTAAAGCAAAAGGAGACGAAGACCGACGACTGACACGATCGGGAAATGAACTACGAGTGTGTTTCCCTAACTGACACGACTCACAAGACAAACTAGATAAATTTGAGAAACGTGGGACCAGCTTCTGGAGCTTAGCAAGACTTGGATGACCCAAATGAGCGTGGATAGTAAGCGGAGAATCCACAACAGAGCACACTGGAACAGAAGTTGAAAGCTGATAAAGGCCATTGGACTCAGATCCGACGCCAAGTGTCCTCCGCGAGCTCCGATCCTACAAAATGACAGACTCTTTAGTGAACGAAATAATACAGTCAAGGGATTGAGTCAAGCGACTAATGGAAATAAGATTGAAAGGAGAACGAGGAACATAAAGCACATTCTCAATAGAAATAGAAGGAAAAAAGAGAACAGTGCCAATCCCTTGGGACTGAACCAGTGACCCATTAGCCATAGTGATACTGGCAGGGGACTAGACGTACAGAGAGAGGTAAATAAAGACTTATTACCAGAAATATGGTCAGATGCACCAGAATTGAGAATCCATGGACCAAGAGAGGGCGAGTGAGAAACACCAGCAAAGGAATTACCCGTGTGTACACCAGAGGCAGTGGTACCAGGTGGCTGTGATCCAGCAATCAAAGCAGAGTCCGAGGCAGGAACAGTAGTCTGAGCAAAATGAGCGGAGCGAGGAGGGCGACCGTGAAGATCCCAGCAACGATCAATAGTATGGCCCGGCTTGTTGCAATGAGTGCAGAGAAAACGTCTCGTAGAGGGTTTGCGTCCACGTGCAAAACCCTTGGAGACAAGGGCAGATGGGTCAATTGAAGAGGGAGCAGATACTGCAGGTTCCATAGCAGTCTTAGGTGGAATGCGAAGCAACGTAGACCAAACAGAGTCCAGCGATGGAACAATAGTAGAACCCAAGATCTGATCCCGGTTGACAGAGTATTCCGAGGGCAAACCATAAAGAGCCATGAGCATGAAGAACGTGCTGTGTTGCTCAAGTTCTTTAGCAGGATCTGCAGCAGGCGGCAACAGTTCATTGAAATCATGAAGGAGGCCCTGAACTTTTCCCAAGTAAGCAGACATAGAGACATCAAGTCGGTGAGCAGCAATAGTAGTGATCAAATTTTGACAAACGCCATAGAGTCGCTGAGTGTCATTAGTAAAAAGTGACTTGGCCTGACGCCAAACAGACTCACAAGTGACATGAGCACGAAAAATCTGCTTCAAGGACGAGTGGATGGTAGACTTGATGATGCTACATAACTGAGCATCAACCTTTTTCCAATGAGGGCGTACATCTACCGAGATGGACTCAGCCTTAGTAATGAGATGGTCAATGTAGTCATGTCCATCAAGCCAAAGTCGGAGATCAGAAGCCCAAGAATCATAATTGGAGCCATCCAACTTGTCGACGTGCAGCAGAACATTAACATAATTAGAAAAAACAGGCGGGTCAGCCTTTTGAGAACCCTTGGATGCATCGTGGGGTGACAAATCAGCCATGGGTTACCTGAAACAAAAATGAACAGCAACGAAAAGCAAAGAAACGTGTGTGAATAGTGACCAGCAAGGGAAAAGACACCGTAGGAAGCCGAAACGAAGTCGAAACAACAAAGTGAGGACAGATCCAAGTGCGCAAGGAGAAGACGAAGGGAACCGTGGTGGTCCGACGACCAACCGGAGTGGGACGCGCCGCTGCAACAAAACGGGTTGCAGCCGGTTTTTGACGCGCGTGAGAGCGCGTGTAAGAGGATCTGAGGATGGGTCCTGGACAGAAAGGAGCGCCTTCTCGTGGAGATCAGATCGATATGGGTTTCACCGGAAAAATTGCCGGAAAAGTCGCCGGAGATGGTGGTGGACAGTGGTGCCTAATGGCGGCAGTGATCAGACAGGTCCGTAAACGATATATGGAAGCCGGAAACTGACATAATTTTTTTTTTTACTCAGCAGACAGTGGTCCACCGGAAAAAAACGCGGATTAGGATTCCTCTTGTTAGGCTCTAGATACCATGTTAATTACCAAGAGACAAGAGGTATACATTGTAATCCTTGTGTCAACTACACGAAGGAGATTTTATTTATATATTAAACTAAGTAAGAAATACACACACATATACACAATGTGGGACTTCTATACTATGTACAGCAACAATTAGATTTGTACGCTTACGGATATTTATGAGAGAGATTCTGCAAGGATGCGAAACTAAAGATACGGCATTAGTCAAGGTGTGAGATATGTGCACAATGATGACAGAAGTAAAGACAAGCCAAAAAGTGTGTACCTGATGGATATGATTCCTATTTATAATGAGTTATCTGGTTGGACCTTCACCTAGTCTATTATAAGGTTGTTGTGAGACCTTATCTTGTTGCAATTGAGTCTTTTATCATCCTATCCATCATTAATATACTGTTAAGTTGTTGAGTTATGAACCTTATATTCTGGTCCATAACTATTTGTTGTCTGGGCCTAATGGCAGGTTTGATCACGAATGAACCATCCAAAGGAGTATGTTTCAGCCTTATAACAAGATTCATGGTTAATCCGTTTGGAGCGATACAAAAATATGTTAAATTGAGCAGTTGCCCTGGTGGGTCCTTAATTATTAAAAAAAAAAAAGAGAAAAGAAAAGAAAGAAGATATTTTGACCTTCACATTTCATACGTTATGCTTTTTTGTATTTCATGTTACTGCAATTGAGTTATTTAATGATGCCGGTTAAAATTAATGAACCGAGTCCATTTTTATTTTTGTCTGATTCAATTTTAACAATTGAATTTTTACTTACGAGTTCTAGAACAAACTTAAAAGGTCATAAGTCAAGAACATATTAGAGTGGAGATTATAAGAGAACATGATCCGGATCATATATGAGATATTGATGTTCTTGGAGAATTTTCTCATTTTCTGAAGATAAAATAATTGTTTAGAAAATGAAATTTTTGTTAGTTCAATGGAAAAGGTTAAAAAATTTGCATGTATGAAATAAAATTCTAGTTTTTTGTTTTAAAAAAAGTCAAATCTTGTAATTCTGCGCAATCATATAGGTATTTTAGATTTTTTGTGAGTCTTAAAAAAAAAAAAAGCTCGATTAACATAACTTATATCACGGGGATATGAATAAATATGAGCGGAGTCAAAAAATTTATAAGGGTAAACGTAAAGACTAATTTTATTTAATGGTTAAATAACATATAATTTAAATAAAAATAAAAATAAAAAACGGTTATAGTTGAGCAGTCATAATAGCCCCTATTCCCCGTCAGAGTATAATCTTTTTAGTGCAACACCACTACATGATACGAAGAAATTATCACAAAAAGTATTATGAATGAGTGCCTAATACTTCAGTTATTTGAAATTTTCCCATCACCAAATTTGTAACAAAGTCTTTATAGCAATGAACATTTCTCCTTATATTACCCCGCATTGAAATTATATTTGAAACACAGAAGAGTAAATCGAATATTACCTTTTAAGTTATAAGAAATTTTATTGATACTTATTTATGTTCAATTATATTATCCCGAGTCTCAGCATGTAATCAAAAAGAAAAAAACTAGATTGTACTCAAATCTCTTTGGGAAACTATCATTTTTAAAAGTTATTTTGAGCCACTGAATAAAGATCATGAAATATTTTGATAAGTACAAATTTAAAGTTGAAGGAATTATATGCCCTAAGTTTTGTAGGATCTATTTTTTTTCTCCTATCAAACATTTAAACCAGACTCTCCCAACTAACATATGTTCCAGCTTTAGCCAAACATAATGCCTTCCATCAACCAGTGCATAGCTCTAGCATCTGCAGTATAATAAAAGAATTAATTAGTCAGAAGAATCATTGAACAAATGAAACTGATAAGGCTAATATGGTGTGTCCTTCCATGGCATAAAAGCACATATCAGGGGGAGATAGAGGAAGAGGGTACCTTGATTCTTCACTATTTTTCTTCAGGATGCCATACTATGTCTTGCAACCCTGATGAAAAGTTTTTGTAGAACTGCATACAAATCAAAGAATAAGGTTAGCATCAATCAACAACAGCACTGACATATTTACATGATGTCATTGTTCTTTCCTTAAAATATGTTGAGATATATAAAATCATTAATGTAACCTCACCCAAAAGCTTAAGCTTTTGGGTTGAATTGGTTATTTACATGGTATCAAAGCCTCGTGTCCCGGGTTAGATCCTCGCCGCCCCCCACTTTCTTTCAAGTGGAATTTATTTGTTCGCACAGGTAGGTGGGCCTGTGCATTGTCCACCCTTCAAGCCCAATGGGCTCTCGTGTGAGGGGGCGTGTTGAGATATATAAAATCATTAATGTAACCTCACCCAAAAGCTTAAGCTTTTGGGTTGAATTGGTTATTTACATGGTATCAAAGCCTCGGTGTACCGAGTTCGATTCTCACCGCTCCCCACTTTCTTTCTAGTGGAATTTCTTTCTTCGCACAGGTAGGTGGGTCTGTGCATTGTCCACTCTTCAAGCCCAGTGAGCTCTCGTGTGAGGAGACGTATATCTCAACAAAAATACAAAGGAAATGAAAGAGACTTTGAGGCATTCACTTGATAACAGAACTAGAAACATTGGTTCTTATCTCAGTAGTAGTAAGAGATCAAAATAAGTTCCAAAAATGAATAGATTTCTTTTCTTGTTCCACAATAACAACAAAATCAGAATTAAAATGTTCACTTGCCTTATGAAACTCTAGTGTGTCACCCCCAGTCTTTCGCAGCTCAACCATGTGCAAAGAGGGAGCCACTTCGAAAACCTGTAACCATAGCAACCAGTTGTACCAATCATCTCCGGTCAGAGCAAACAAATTGTAAGCAACCATTGAAAATGTATTGCAAACTTTTTTTGACAATTTCAGTTGTCAAGTAATTGAAGCTTGAAAGGCTCCATTCCTCATCAACAAGAGTGAAATCTATGTGACACATTGAATTAGGTATAACCAAGAGTCAAGCTCCTACGGTGAGGAAAAATCCTTGCCTCATAAGTCAAAACAATACACTATTTTAGTGCATGAAGTTGATTAAATAAATATAATGAAAAATACACTATTTTAGTGCATGAAGTTGATTAAATAAATATAATGAAAATTTGCCATGCGTTTTAATCCAAAATATTCAACCAGTAGCTACAGTTGGGTTTCAGCATTTTCCACTCTTAGAGACAAGGACTAGAATTTATTATTCGGGAATAAATATGGGAATAATAGAATAAAAATTAAAACTATCATTCGTAGCCACAAACAATTCTAAAGTTAATTCTTTGTGACTAAAAAGTCGAATCCACAAAGAACCTCTTTATAGATATGTCATGGTAATGCAGCGTACAAAGATTGTCTTCATCCCCACTCTCACTAGTCGGGGTTTAATTGGGAGTAATTTACCCACAAACAATACAAACACAAAAGGCCTGCAACCATAAAGGAACCAGACAGTACCTCAGTAGCCACTGAAAGGTGACCCTTCCTTCCGGTTTTATCACCTTGCAGCTTCATCTGCAGAATTTTAAACCAGATAAGTATGAGTAATCTATAACATTAAAAGTTCAAAGCGTTCACCTTCTTTACAAAAGACTAATCACGCCAAAGATACTTCTTGGCAAATAAATAATGCAGACTAGTATGTGTAATTAATGCATAGACATATGTTATTACCTTATAATTTCGCTTGTGAACATTAAAGCCCAGAGGCTTGGCAGCTTCCTCAATTTTAGACATAATTTCATTTGCAGGGCGCTGTGACGTAAAATGTGTTTCCCGCTTTACAATCCCCTATGGAGTTGAGTTAAAATAAAATGGACAAACAAGCATCATTGTCCAGAAAGAATAATCATGTTCATTATCAATCTTTGTTAGCCAATTACCAAAAAAACAAACAAACTGAATTTAGATAAGGCTCCTAATTAAACATAAATCAACCAAAAATTGATCCAAACATCACATACTTCACAATTTTTCATGTGACTTGTAATTTGAATAAAACCTTTATAATGCATAACATTTTAATATGATGAAAGCACAAACTACTTTTTACATACTGTCTGCTTCTCAAATAAGCTGTCAAGATTGAAGCTTTGCGACCTAGAAATGAGCTCAAAAGCATTCATAGACTCGGGTTTCTCTTTTCTCTCTGTCACGAGATTTTCCTACATATCAAAGAGAATAAATAAATTACACATTGAGAAGAGCTTCCACAGACCCTTTCTTGCATTTCTAAATTATAGTAAGTAAATCTTTTAATGAGAGAAAATAAGTAAAATTTTTACATGTTGACTACACAGGATTATTGTAAAAAACAAGTCCCCGAGAGGAGTTACTTTAAAAAGAAGCAATGGCCTAAAGACATTGAATAGAAATATTGTAAGAAACACCATACCTTAGAATCATTGAAAGCAGCAGCTACATCATCTACATTTACATCCTCTTCCTCTGTAAAAGATGCTGGCTTGTATCCTTTTTTGAACCATTCATCTTCTAAGATTTCAGGAATTTTTATCCTCTGCAAAAAGCAACCCATATTAAAAGAGAAAAGTATATGCTTACAGCAGGATATTCTTTAACCACATAAGAGATATTGAAGGTTAAATAACAGGATTAGTAATACCACAAACAGAATCAGACAACTACAAGAGTAAGGGCCCAAGTAGGAAAACAAATACATGTAAAAGTTGAAAGTTTTCAGTTCAGAACTCACGGTAAGAGGGTTTGGGTCAAGAATACAGTTCAGTAGTTTCTTTGCCTCAGGTGAAAACCAAGATGGACATGCGAAATCAGCCTTGCTAATCTGAAATATATGTTCAGATTTTCACCCCCCATTACCATAATGACATAAGAAACTTTTCTTTCACTCTTTATTCTCAAGGAGTATATTCTGCAATCACTTACTTTCTTGTACAGTGCCATTTGATTTGGCTCATCAAACGGCAAGTAACCAGCCATAAGTACAAAGAGAATGACTCCACAAGACCAAATATCAGATGCAGAACCAACATAACCTCTATCATTAAGCACCTGAAACAAATGGCACACCACAAATAACATTTAAGCTTGTGGAATAATTTTAGTGAGACACTAGAAAGAGTTCCATTATGTCAACTAATACCAGATGTTTTCAATACTTAACAGTTCTTATGGCCAAATGAAAAGACTTAGTTATAACCTTGAACAAGTGCACTAAATCAGAAATCTATAACATGCACATATGCCTATTGTACGACAGATATCGTCTTACCTGCTGTGAGTACGATTTAGTCCAAAATCTGAAACTTTAAGAACACCAT